CCGTGTAAACATAAAACCATGTCTGCATTTGTGATCGGAGAAATGACAAACAACAAGCGCTACTCTACACTGCTCAAAACTTGCGTTTGAATCGTCAGTGGCAAATTCTTTAAATATAAAAAACGTACTTACAGTCTGTGAGTCAGAAGTGCCGGCATTGTAGTCTACTCTACCAGGATCAGGAAACATGCTCCGTAAAATGCGCAGCACACATCTGAATATTTGGGTTGAAGTGTTCTGGAACAGTGTTGTAAATACAACTTAACCACTCTAGTTGTGTCCTCTTTTGGAAGGCCAAACAAAGTAGTTTCGCTTTCACAACAAAACACACAGCATCTCCACGACATGGCGGCAGCAACAATACTATACAGTGAGAATAAAAGTTCTCTTTGCGTATACATTCTTTCTTTGCGTATACATTTGGGCGGTGTTATGCAAATCTTCCCACACAGTGACATAGACAGTGACATTTAAACGAGGCGTTTTAGGAGGGCGTGGACGAGTCTTAACTTTTATAAAGAATATCTCTAGTCTTTGAAACTTTAGGGATCTTATCTATTCACGAACAGCTTGTAACACTCCAAAGAGAAAGGAAAACTTGAAATTGCATCATATGACCCCTTTAAACTAGCAAAAGTGGATTCGGACACGCCCTGAGTGCACCTGCGCCGTGCGCTTTAGACCATGCGCTTAGATCGTTAAAATGGGGCCCAAAATCTCTAGACCTTTTTTTTTTTTATTCCACTACATTGTGTCTCACATTTTTGAAGACAAAGACGCATTTCTGTGTCTCAAGGGTAAGGGGTCAAAGTGAATGCATTATGCACTACGCTGTTTTTCCATTGTGTTTTTATGTAAATATGCATAAAACTTATGTGTTTGACCATTGTACTCGCAACTTTGACATTCTCGCACAACACGTCGTTCTAAAAATAAAGCAATGGCAAAGTTAAAAGTAAATCAACTTTTTAAAAAAACATGTCAATTGGTCTTGCGTTTGTCTTCATTTTATTACATTGCGTCTTGCATTTTTAAACATAAAAACGCATTCTTAGTGAATGGTCCCTAACGCAGCAGTTTAAAAATGGCGCTCAATTTAAAAGAAGTTACAATTTTTAAAAAATGCATCTTGAGACATTGCGATTTTTATTCCACTGCCCTGTATCTTGTGTTTTTAAATGAATAAATGTGTTCTGTCTTTTAGGGTTAATGGTGTGTGCACACCAAAAGTTAATTAAATTATTTGCGCGAGTAGATTACATTCAAAGACATAAATAGATGGGAATTCGTGCTGGGTGATGCGAATGACACAAATTGGGCGACACGATTGCTGAGTGCAATATATTGCAAAGGTGCAATATTCATCTCAATCGTATCTTCCACACAAGTTGAAAAATTTTAACTCGAGCGGGAAATTTGCATGATGCGTTGTTGCGCAAGCCAATCCGCGCAGAGCTTATTGACATATCCGGTTGTATCAGAAAATGGAGGAGAGCATGCGCAATGTTTTTATTCACGTGAAAAACATCCCGCGAGTAATCTAGAGCGATAACGCGATGCGAATATTAGTTTTTCTATGTAAACATGCGCTAAATTGACATTTTTGACTTTCTTATTCATACAGAGACCGAACAAAAAAGGCGATAGCTTGGAGAAAAATAAGCGAGGACGTTGGACTTCCTGTTAAGTGATGAAAATATGTGTCAGTAACTTGATTCTAGCTATGAGTTGTTGTTGTTGTTGTTGATGATGATGTGTGTGAAGACACTCCTTATTGTGCGATATTTTTATTTGTGCAAGTGTGAAAAACATCCCACGAGTAATCTAGAGCGAGTAACGCGATGCGAATATTCGCTTCGCTTTTGGTGTGCACACACTATAAGTGGTGGTTCACACAGAAAATGTTTTTTTTCCATTCCACTGCACTACTTTTACATAGTTTTTCTATGTAAACATGCGCTAAATTGACATTTTTGACTGTAGTGCTGGCATCTCGTGTTTTTTTTTAAAAACAAAATGCTAAACGTTTTTGCATCCCATGTGCTACTTTTTGTTTTATGCAAACATGCTCTAAACTTTTGTCTTTAACCTTTGCGCTCACATCTCACACTGCGTTAAAAATTTTATACTTAAATGTAGTTAACCTTTAAAAAAAAAAAAAAAAAAAAACTTCTATAGTCATTGCGTTTTTTATTCCACTGCCTCGTCTTATTCCACTTGCCCCATCCCACTGCGCTGCTTTTCCATTGCGCTCATGTCTTCTGTGTTCTAAAAACATCGCGCTAATGTTAAAACAAGTTCAATTTTAATAAACGAGTCTCGATACCTTGTGTATTTTTCCCATTTTACTGCTCATGTTTCACGTTTTTCAACACAAATATACGATCTGTGTGAATGGCCCCTAAGAGTGCAGGATTGGGGTTTTCAATGGCAAAACGACACAAGCAGGACGAGCTTACAGACATGTTTGAGGGTCTTGGTGAGGCACGTGTGCTGGTCAATAATCTCGCCTGTCCTCCCCTATTGATTAGACAATGATTGATTCCATCCTGGTCACGACATTGAAAACACACACACACACACACACACACACACACAAAACAATCAAATACATGCATTTATTAAGTCAGAACACTTACAAAACTAACAAAAAAAATCTTCTAACCAAGCTGCACAATCTCATTCATGTCGTTATAGATGCTTATATGCATTTGCAGGCTTCATCTTTAAGCAATTATACCCTTCATTACCCAATATTCATAGCTGTGTCACGATAACTAGAAGAAAAGTGAATTCGCGATTGTCCGTGACAGCTGTTTAACAGGATTCCGGGTAGGTTTATAGTCGTTCTGTACTCTCATAAACATGATAGCTGCTCTCAAGTGCGGGTTGATGTTGTGTGTAGCGATGCTAATGAGCTCAGCTGGCGGAGGAGTGTGTCTTTTCCCCGCCCCCACCTCCACCTCCCCACGGGTACGAGAGCTCAGCTGTCCCCTCCACTTACTGCGGGATAAAGGAGCCCAACGCCGAACCTGCATCCTGCACCTGCTGCCTCCCTGCCACACACACACACACACAGAGTCTCTGTAAATCCATCATTAGAAGCACTCCAGCTATGCAAAGCCAGTTTTAGCCACAAATATCACCACTATTTTGAGCCAAACATTATAGTTTATGTACTACAGCTCTCCTTGATGAATATTCAAATAAGAATTGCTGTAAATATTTTGTACTACATATGACAAAAATATTTCTATATTTATTTTATATAAAATAATTAGTGCTGGGCAACGATCAATTACGATTAATCGCATCCAAAATAAAAGTTTTTGTGTACATAATATATGTGTGTGTACTGTGTATATTTATTATATATATATAAATACAAACACATGCACATATATATTTAAGAAAAGTATGTTATGCTTATATATTAAATATATTTATGTATAATATAAATTATATGAATATAAATATATACATGTATATATTTTCAAAATATATACTGTATGTGTATGCATTCATATATACATAATAAACATACACAGTACACACTTTTATTTTGATTAATCGCCCAGCACTAAAAAATATAAATATAAATATTACTTACATATTCATAATATTAAAATAAATAAGTAATATTTCACAATTTGGTCCACAAATATGAAAATTACAATCATAATATATAAAAACATCTATAAAATATATGCAACACAGTATACAAAAAAGTTATAAAATATATTTTGCATATTATTTAAATATAAAATAATATGCAAATATAAAAATAAAACAATGCTATATTATTTCAACACTGTACTATATACACAAGTGAAAACATTTTACATTTTATTATTGTTATTATTATTATTATAAATGAGCAGTACATATTTAACACCACATATGCCACAAATATAGTATTAAATATTATTATTTTAGTATATTACTGCTAAAACATGCAAAAGTAGATCATATAATAGGATCAATTAAATATTTATAATAATATATATGATTTCATTTTATAAATGTTTTCATTTTATAAAAAAATATATAAATATAAAAAAATATATAAATATTACATATTCATAATATTAAAATAAATAAGTAATATTTCACAATTTGGTCCACAAATATGAAAAATAATAATCATAATATATCAAACTTATATAAGAATATATGCAATACAATATACAAAAATGTTATATGATATAAAATATATATTTGCATATTATTTAAATATTAAATAATATACAAACATAAAATTTGCATTAAAACATAAATGTTGTCATTTTAATTACAATACTGCGCTATATACACAATTTAAAACATTTGACATTTTATTATTATTACTTCGTAGTAGTAGTATTAAATATTTAGATTATTATTATTTTAGCATATCAATGCTAATACATGCTAAAGTAGATCATATTATAGGATCAATTATATATTTATAATATTAAAATGGAAAATAAATCAATATAAAAAGTATTTTCATTTTCATAATACTGTAACAATAAATAAAATGTGGTCCACAGATGTTGTTTCTCTATAATAGCTCAGTGTAAGGGAGGTTCGGGTCCTCGTGGTTTGGCTGCGTTCAGTGTGTGTGGGACTCAGGTGTTGATCTCTAATCATTACTGGGCCACACAAAAGAGGGAGGAAGGGGAGGCGGAGGAGAAAGACGCCACCAGTCATGAGATCAGGGTGAACGGCTCTGATCTAGAGACCAGCGCTCACCAGCAACACAATCATCAATGCTGCTCGAAGAGCCGGACACCACAACATCGCTCAGAGGAGGATTCAGGATCAATACACATTAAGCTCTAGAAATGTCTCTCTTCAGATTGTACAAAAAACTCATTCATCATTTTTTATAATAGACCTTACATTTATTTTGATATTAATAATAATATTAATTCATTAAAAATATATTATGTAATCATTCACATTTTTATATAATTATTATTATATAAATATAATACATAAATCGTAGAATAAAAAATCATTATTCGTTTGTATAATATACTTTAGACATTTTTATTTAAATTCACATATATAATTTCCTTATAAATATTAAAATAATAATGTTATAAATATGTATATTATACTGTTTATTTTAATCGTTTTTTTTATTTTTTATAAATAAATCTATAAAGATTTTTAAACAAATCATGTGTGATATAATACATATTATAAATTAATACTTCTTAAGAATATCATTTACAATAAAAATTGTGTACATTTACACACATCGTTTCAAAAAATATTCAAAAGAATCTTTTTAACAACAATATAAATTAGATTTGATAATTTTTTATATCCTTTGTATTTTTTATCAATTTTTTAAGTACATTTTTGATATCTTTTGTATTTTTCTATACATTCATAACATATAATTTCTTTTTAAATATTAAAAATAATAACATGTATATTTGTGCATTTTTAAAAAACAGTATAAATTATTTTTAATACACAATTACACAAATCAAAAATTTAATTAGTTCATTTTCATAATATATTTTACATGTTTTTACGTAAATTCATATATTTTGTTCCTTTCCTTTTATATCCTCACATCGACAGGAATTCAATCCGACACCATTTTTCAATGATTTGTTTTTAATGGGGCTCAGAGCTTCACACAGTGAAGGGGTTGTGGGTTCATGGGGAGGTTTGACAGAGTTTTCTGAGGGACGAGGAGAAACAATGAGGGCTAAAAAAAATACTCATTTCTATCATTTCTCTTTAGGAGCAAACAAACATTACAACTGAAATTCACACAGTCAGGAAGAACAGCGTTTATGAGCTCTGCTCCGTCACTGCGACTCAACAACAGTGACTTAATTGTGCAATTGTATCATTTTAATTGTATCGTAAAATTGCATAATCGATTCAGTCATACTTCGAACCAATCAGAGCTGACCTACCGCATCATGTGACCGAGGGCAGTCAGAATCAGCTGAACACTATTATATGGGCCGACGGAAATGTCTACTAAACTAGTGGTGTGATTGCTCAAAAACAGAAAGCTGGAACATGTAGAAGGGTAAATCACACAAAGTCTGTCAAAAATGTCCATAGTTCACAAAAAAAACAAATGTAGGCCTATTTTTAGGATCACACTTTTTTTTGCACGATTGGGCACATTTTATTAATCCTCATTACTGTAATGTGAAAAATATATATTAAATTACAAGAAAAGTAAGTCATATTTTATGTATTCAATTTAATTTCTTTTAAATTAAATTGTATTTGTTATTCATTTAAAATAATTGAGCCCAGACAAGATTACTTTTATTACTATATTACATAAAAATCATGATTTTTCACATTACAGTAATGACAAATGTGCACACATTTCTTTGTGTGATTTACCCAAGAGATTATTAAAACAACATACAAACAAAACAAAAACGATACAAATATCCAGAAAGATAAATGTACTCATGTTTTTCACAGAATATGTAGTGTTGTGCTGTCGAAAGACAACAAATACGATGATTTTCATTTTAGTGACTGCTGCTTCACACGTTTCCATTTGAGTTAGCAGTGGAAATATAGCGCAAACCGTCAGTTTGCGAAAATATATATTCTAAATACTGGACGAACATCCTCGCTGAGCGGTTTAAGAATGCGAAACGTATGCAGCCTAACGTTTTGTCACAAGTGCCTGGCTTTCTAAAATGAAATGTAACTTTACCCTCATCTGTGCTAAGGCACTGGCTAAATAGTGACGTATAACTAAGGAATAGTTCACCCAAAAATAAAAATTTGCTGAAAATGTACTGTGGGCTTGAGTGGTGTGGATTCATTGTGGATGATTGTGATGTTTTTATCAGCTGTTTGGACTCTCATTCTGACGGCACCCATTCACTGCAATGGATCCATCGGTGAGCAAGTGATGTAAAGCTAAACTTCTCCAAATCTGTTCTGATCAAGAAACAAACTCATCTTGGATGGCCTGAGGGTGAGCACATTTTCAGCAAATTTTCATTTCTTTAACCATTAGTTCTCAAATTGAGCTTTTATACTAAAATATATTTGGTCCAAAACTTCACTTCCATCTGAAGTGATCCGTTTTCAGACTTTCTACAGATTAATAACCAATTGTCACGCAATTCACATATTTAATGCTTACTAAAAGCACAATTTTTAGTTAATATTTGAATTGTTAACCTATTATTTAAAGACTTTTAGGCAGTTATCCCGAGAGTTTAACATCAACGTTTCCATTAAAAACACAATTCCATTCAGTTCAAAGAAACAAACCGCAGTGCGTGTGAATAAATCTCACTAGTAACTGATTATCGTTAACTCAAAAGTAAACAAAGCACACGGAAATAAACACTTTGACAGTAAATAACTAATTAGCATTAGTATGATCAGTAACATACCCGCTTAAACAGTATCTGGTTTGTTAAACTCTAGTGTTTAGTAAATTAGTAGTTAGTGTTGATTATTTACAGTGGTCTATACAGACTATTAAAGCAGTGCACAGGAAATAACGCCAGCAATATTTTATAGTAGCACATGATTCTTTCAGCTGTTTAAAGGGTAGTTCACCCAAAAATGAAAATTACTCCATGATCAAGCCATCCTAGGTGTATATGACTTTCTTCTTTCAGACAAATACAATCAGAGTTATAATAAAAAATGTCCTGGCTCTTCCAAGCTTTATAATGGCGGTGATAAGGGGTTGAGATTTTGAAGCCCAAAAAAGTGCATCCATCCATCATAAAAAGTGCTCCACAGTGTTGCGTTTGTGTAAGAAAAATATCCCTGTTTAAAACTTGATAAACTGTCATCTCTAGCTTCCGCTAACTGTTGTACTCATGTTCACGAGAGAGTGGCGTCCCAGCGGATGACGTAGGCGTAGCGTAAACTCCGGTGAGAATATGCTAGTCTCGCGAGAACCAAGTTTTGTTTACAGCAAAGAAAAACCAGTCTCCTCTAGTCTTACATTGAAATCCTCCAACATGTTTCTGTACAAATCCTCGTTTTGTACTTCTAAATCATGACTGGTGTTTTTTGCTCTCTCCTCCGTGCTTCCGCGTTCGTTGCTTCTCACCAGAGCTTATGCTACAACTTTTTCAGCCCATGTCAAACCCACATGGGCCCCACACACAAATGTTGGCTGGGTAGGTGCATCGGCATACAAAGTTAAAAAGTCGGTTTAAAAAGTGTGTATCGACTACAAGTTGTCATTTATATCATCATTTCTAACATATTTGCATCGGTAAAATCGATTTATTTATATATAATTACTAATGGATGCGCTATACTTTTATTATTTACAAAGTGACCAATATTTTATATGTAGATTGATTTCTCTAAACTGTTTCTCAAGCGCATTTTTTCATCACCGCTGCTTCATGATATGGCGAATCACAACACCATGGAAACCCGAGGAAAAACTGGGATTAAAGTCCAAAACCTGACTTGAAATATCCTAACAAATCAATCGGGGCTAAAGTGGTTCCATTAACGACAAATTAAATTCACACTATCTCACTAATTTGTGCACGCTTATTCTTAAGCAGATCTTAATGACGATCATAGATCAAATCGATCCACCATGACAAACAACGAATATATCTGTGCTGTTTAATGCATTTGAGACGTTGTGTTTTCCTCAGTGCATAACTGACATGTCACAGGTATATTTTTCATCTGTAAATGTTAGAAAGTCATGCAAACATATCCATTTTGCTGTCAGGAGTGGGCGAGGCACGCGAGAGCAACGAGCGCAGCTGCGCGCATGCACGCTAAACAGACAGAGCGCAATCGAATAGGAGCGCAATAATTCTGAGTAAAATATACATTTTGCTAAAATATTTGTTGTTGGACATTAAATGTGTCTTATAGAATTTTAAACCTGCATATAAGTGTATTTTTATGATAGCAGTAACTGTAAATCAAATCTAGTAGGCTACAGTACTAATTACTAAGCTCAAATGAGTTAATGTGTGTTTCTTATAGCAGTTAAAATATAGTCATGTTCTTTATTATATATTTTCATTTTTAATTCAGTGATTTTTACTTTTAATTTAGTTATTTTAATGCTTTAAAAAGCAATTTTAGATTGTAATGTTTTAATGTTCTGCTATCTGTTCTGCAAACTATAAAAGGTACAGCTGTAATAAAACCAGAGAGAAAGGCTGCATGGCTAGAAACTGTAAAAAAAAAAAAAGTCAAATAATAGTATGTGAGACAGTGGTAATTGTATTGTGTTCCTATTGGTCAGTACAGGAGCTTAGCTTAGCCTGACAGTTAGCCTGCTTTAGACCAGGAAATAACGCCAGCAATATTTTATAGTAGCACATGATTCTTTCAGCTGTTTAAAGGGTAGTTCACCCAAAAATGAAAATTACTCCATGATCAAGCCATCCTAGGTGTATATGACTTTCTTCTTTCAGACAAATACAATCAGAGTTATAATAAAAAATGTCCTGGCTCTTCCAAGCTTTATAATGGCGGTGATAAGGGGTTGAGATTTTGAAGCCCAAAAAAGTGCATCCATCCATCATAAAAAGTGCTCCACAGTGTTGCGTTTGTGTAAGAAAAATATCCATATTTAAAACTTGATAAACTGTCATCTCTAGCTTCCGCTAACTGTTGTACTCATGTTCACGAGAGAGTGGCGTCCCAGCGGATGACGTAGGCGTAGCGTAAACTCCGGTGAGAATATGCTAGTCTCGCGAGAACCAAGTTTTGTTTACAGCAAAGAAAAACCAGTCTCCTCTAGTCTTACATTGAAATCCTCCAACATGTTTCTTTACAAATCCTCGTTTTGTACTTCTAAATCATGACTGGTGTTTTTTGCTCTCTCCTCTGTGCTTCCGCGTTCGTTGCTTCTCACCAGAGCTTATGCTACACCTACGCCATCCGCTGGAACGCCACTCTCTCATGAACACGTGTACCAGTTAGCAAAAGCTAGAGATTACGGATTATTACGTTTTAAATATGGATATTTTTCTTATACAAACGCATCAATTCGCTTCAGAAGGCCTTTATTCACCCCCGGAGCCGTGTGGAGCACTTTTTTGGGCTCTAAAATCCCATTAAAAACCATTATAAAGCTTGGAAGAGCCAGGACATTTTTTAATATAACTACAATTGTATTCGTAGTAGGGATGGGAAGATTCCCCGATTCGCTCGGTGCATCGGCATAAAAAGTTAACGATCGGTTTAAAAAGCGTGCATCGGCTACAAGTTGGCATTTATATCGCGATGCATCGTTTCTAACATATTTGCATCGGTAAAAAACGATTTATTTATATATAATTACTAGTGGATGCGCATGCACGCTAAACGGACCGAGCGCAATCGAATAGGAGCACAATAATTCTGAGTAAAATATACATTTTGTATACAGTTTTTGGACATTAAATGTGTCTTTTGAAGAATTTTAAACCTACATATAAAGTGTATTTTTATGATAGCAGTAACTGTAAGTGGACTATTGTAATAGGTAAATCAAATGTAAGCTAGTAGGCTACTAATTACTAAGCTCAAATGAGTTAATGTGTGTTGCATAAGTTGCCACAGTGACTAAGCTTGATCTAGGCCTATGTTAAATTTGCTTTATGGAACCAAATCATTTGACAATGAGTCAGACTAACTGAAATAAGCCTGGCTTATTTGGTTAACTTGTTTTATGAAACAGGTCTGGAGGCATTAAAAGTGATCATATTTTCTCCATTGCATCGTATTGCATAGAATCGCATTGTGTTGAATCGAATCGAAATCGGATCACACTGCATCGTAACAGGGGTGAATCGTATCGCATCGGTAGCCGCTTCATATGTATCTTTAATGTATCGTATCGTTGGCAATACATCGAGATGCGTATCGTATCGGCCTCAGTCATGAGATGCACATCCTTAATTGGTATGAAAGAAGAAAGTCCTATACACCTAGAATGGCTGAGGGTGAGTAAATCATGGGGTAATTTCATTTTTGGGCAAACTATCCCTTTAAGCATTAAAAGTCATGGTCCATTGGAAAGAAATGATTTACCCTGGATTATGACAACTCGTACGAAATGATTTAGACCATATTATCGCCAAACCGAAAATGCGCTTGCGAAAAAACAGCCCTTGATTTTACACGCCATGTTACCCATTCATTTTCAGCCTGGGTTGTTTATAAGAAAGCAAAAAGGTTACGAAGCAGCAGCGTTCTACTGTATCGTGGACTAAAGATGGAGAAAGGGTTTGTTTGTCTCCAAAGCACCTTCGCTGGAGCGACCGTTCACAGGAGTAGAGGCAGAGGACGGAGGAGTGCTGTTCACAGAACAATGAAGAGGATGATCACGACAAACAGGATGGCCAGAAGAATGCCGATAGCGCACCACTGTCGCCGATCTGTAGGGTCAAGTGAGAATATAACAGGTTAAAACACTCTTAATTAGGCTAAACAGTGTTTTTAACAGCTACTCTGTATAGCCGTAGAGGTTTTATGGTGAAGGCAGAACTAAATGTTTTTAAAACATTCCCACAAACTTCAGGAGAAGTTCAGATTTAATTCTTGGTCTCTCAACCAATTGTTTCCTATGAAAAGGTCCAGAAGTTTGACTTCCGGAGTGCCAACTTTATGAATCATGACAAAGTTTTGGCTTTACATAAAAACAGTCAGCATAATATTTTAACTGTAATAAAACAAAAGTAAATACTGTCAGATAGGATGTCCAATATTAAAATAAGAGGTTTCAGTTGAATGATTGCTGAAAGTATTCTCTGACTGATTCTAACCATGTGTGACTGTAAATGAAGCAGGTCTGCTCTTCCGCTGCTGTATTACTCACCGCTGGTCATGTGAGAAACTTTAGCCAGCTTCTTCATGACGTTATCCAGTCTGGATTGAGTGCTGTCCATCTCATGTGAAAAATCATCCATCATTCTGAAAATAGGCCAGACACACAGTCAGAATCGAAACAGAAAGTTTTGAGGTCTGTTAACTCACCCGCTAGACAAACTGTCAGGATTCACGCCAAAAGCAGGTCAATTTCTCATGTACTACTTTGTGCTCTGGTTTGTTTTGTAGAAAGTTGGTAACTACTTAAGGCTGATTTATACTTCTGCGTCGAACCTACGCCGTAGCTTACGCATAGACACACACACATACGCCGTAGCATGACGTGCACCTCTCCAAAAATCGAACAGCGCATCAATTCTACACAGACCGCATGCGCTGTGATTGGTCTGCAAGAACCCCTCCCTCCATATGTACTTGAGTTTTGTGTGTGTTTATGTGCACTTTAATATATATATTTTAATGTTACACCTTCTTATATAAAATAAAACAAAGCAAAGAACAAGTGTATTATCATTTATTATACTACATAGCATTATACATCAGTAGTTGTCCGCAACAAACAAGGACAGCAAATTTACACTGTTATACAAGCTGTACACTCACTACTTTACACTGTAGCAAAGTGTCATTTCTTCAGTGTTGTCACATGAAAATATATAATAAAATATTTACAAAAATGTGAGGGGTGTACTCACTTCTGTGAGATACTGTATATATTACTATAAATAAATGATTTTTAAAATAATTAGAGAAAACATAAAACTAAAAATTATACATAAATGATGTACAAGTACTAATATACATACATATGCAGTTTTTCATGGATCGCATTGTGTTGTGTTCTGGTTTGTAATTAATAAAAAAAATTATTAATAAATATATTAAGAATATATAAAAACATTTTGAAAAAGAATGATGTATATAGCAATTATTATTCAAAAACTGTATAATTAAAATGTGTGTGTATATGTATATATATTATTTATATAAATATAAATTGTTAATATAGAACTAGAATTAATTTGAATAATTATATTTTTAATGAAATAATATGTGTATATATGTGCATGTGTGTGTGTATATATATATATATATATATATATATAATCGTGTAAATATATGTAATTTCTCCATTAAAAAATACATCATTTATACTATTTATATATCCAGTTTTCAAATTATATATAATAATCTATAAATTATACACATATTTTTCCATTAACAAAAAATTATAAGTTGATAATAATTAAATTAAATTAAATTAAATTACATATAAACATATACATGCACATATATACACACAAAGATTTCCTACCTAACTTCACCAGGTTTAAAGTGACTTACACAGCTTGCTCATCCAGCTCTTGGCCGATCCTTTGGGACATGTTCTTCAAGACACCAATAGTTCCCGATACCAACTCCAGCTGCTCATCCTGCTGTCCTGCTATGAGCTGCAATGTACAGAAATAAAACACACTGTCCTGATAAGTGCTCAGAAATATGGTACAATATGCTAATCGTGATAATCACCTCTTAAATATGAACTGATGTATTGACGTACCTGTTGCTGGGTCTGTTGTTCCTCGATGAACTGTGAGTTTGCCGTCTGCAGCTCCCGGTCTAGTCTGGTGTACTTATCAGCATTGGGTTGCCAGATTGGGCCATGAGACCCACCATCACCCATTAAAGTCTAATATGAGATCATAAATTATCATGAGATGATACGCAAACTGTAAAATCATAATCTGGCTCCTACTTTCATAGTTTGAGTACAAACCTGTCGATTTTTCCTCTCAGACACCGTAATTGCCATCGGACTAGCCATGTGGTCTTTCATCTCCTGTAAAATGAAAATCAATTAGAGATATTCGTGTGCCATTGGGGCAGATGTGTGTAAGTCTCTCAAATCTGCTCACCCTGACTGTTTGCCTTGTGCTAGTGATGAAGGCTTTCCTCTTGGCCAGCTCCATCGCATTGAGATTGAACTTCTTTGGATTAGCCTCCACAATACTTAAAGACAATGTTAAGGCTACAATATATAAACACCTGAACCATTTCAAGTCCAAACATAGGCTCCCAGAAACAAAAGGATATTGATAGTCTCATCCAAGTCCTCCAGGTCCCATTCAATGGACCTCAAACTGTTCCTCAGCTCATTGGTGGTCCAGTCCACCTCCTCCTTGCTGGCTCCACCCGGGTCCTGTAGCAGCTCCATCCATCTCTGATGAAGCCCCTGAGCTGTGTTCACAGCCTTCTGCACCTCTCTAATGAACAGCAATCCATTAAAAGAAATACAAATTTATAAAGTCAGGAACCCAACAGTATTTGAACAATGACAATGCAAATGTTAGGCTTGAGTCATAAATAAAAACACTATAATATTACAGACAATATCCTGATTTTGGACATGTACCATGGTACAGTGATGGTATCACATGGAAATACCATAGTACTTTGATTTATACCATGGTATTCACATGAGATTTCAAGGTACGTCCGAATATACCAAGGTACATGTTCAAAAAGCATGATAATTCCATGTCTTTAGGCATGTGCCATGGTACTTTGACTTATACCATGGTATTCATGTAGCACTCCAAGGTATTTCCAAATATACCATGGTACAAGTCCCCCCAAAAAAAGTAAAAATTCCATGTTTTTGGACATGTATCATGGTACAGTGAAGATATCACTGGGAAATAGCATGGTACTATTGTTTTACCATAGTATTTAAATGGCACTCCAAGGTACTTCCAAGTATTACATATTCGTAAGTATAACATATCAACGAGCAGGGGTGTATTCCAGAAAGTGAGTTTAGTATTCCAGAGTTTGTTAACCTCAGAAAAGGGAAACTCAAGTGTTTTCGGTTCCAATAAAAGACTAAACGAAACCTCTCGGTAAGTTACCATAGTAACTTACTCTGTGAACCTAACCTGGTCGGGAGCAGGTTTTCTTCGGTAAACCCAGAGTTTCTTTCGGTCTCCTCCCCCTTTTTAAAGCGTAAGCAATGTTTAAATACCTCATTCATTCATTCACGCTGCAAAAATTGCTTTTATCGCTGGGATTTTTGCCTTATTTCAAGTACAAATATCTAAAAATTCTTTAGTTAAGATGCATTTTCTATAGATGAAAAATGATATAAGATATTTAGTCTTGTTGGGGAAACAAGTGCATTTAAGTGCATTTTACGTAAAATTGTCCACCATATAGTAAGAAAAATAATCTTAATGCAAATGGAAAAAATTATATTTTTAATTGCTTACCCCATTGGCAGATAATTTGCAAAATAAGAAAAATGCACTTAAATTAGTTATATACGATATTTACTTTCAAATTAATTGCCAGCGGAGTAAGAAAAATAATCTTAATGAAAATGGAAACAAGGTAAATGTGACAAAAATGGCATGTCTTTTTATAAGGGATCCTGTAGATGAGGAGGCTGCATTAATTCGTGGGGAGTTACATTTACATCATTAGAGGATTTAATTTCATTTGATTTAATTTATTTATTTTGCCATATTCACATGCATATTTATTTGAACGGTACCATTTTTAAATGGCGTTCACTTGATAACATCTTGTTGCGACCTCTAAGTAACCTAATAATTAGAATTTCCTTTAGGATTTCCAGTGTGGTTGGATGCATTGATTACACACATATTCTCACCATCGCACCTTCTGAAAATGAAGCTGATTACTGTATGGAATAGAAGGATGCCAGATGGAAGGGTAGTGC